TATTGATGTAGTAATTTATGATTTTTTAGTTATTCAAATGTATATATAAAATCTAAAAAAATTTTGTTTCATGTCCTCCATGTGCAAAATTTGTAAAGGCTTAGCAACCTATGTCAAGCAGCAACCAAGTACAACCAGAAGAGATAATTATTTGCTTTACTTCTTGAATTACTGTTCTGTATTTTAATAAAAATACGTTTAAGAACTTATTTCAAATCAGCAATAATCTATATACATAGATAATGTATATTATTTGAAATATGACTGTATTTTACAAAATACTGGGTCTGCTAAAACACAGCCAAGACAAATTACTTTATACAGACCAAAGGTCACCTTTATGTTATTTGATACGGTAATATGAGTGCACGTGAGCCATGTCATTGTAACTTCTGAATTCATAGCCAGGCACGGCTGAAAGGTCAATATAATAAAAATAATAAATAGACATAAATGTATAATGTTATGAGATTTAAGCTATTTTTTCTAAACATTTATGTTTTCATGTTATAATTTGTGTTCATTCTAGAATGAAAGATGCATAATTTATGTTTATTTCCTAATTTTTATGGTGGTTGTGAGATCGGTCAAATTTACCGAACCCGTACAGAGATTAATTACTGAAAATAACAGATGAAATATAAAGTTTTTATTAAGAAACGTTTGATAACAATTTGGACATTATAAAGATTTAGCATGTGAAATTGGAAAATTTTCTGACCATACTACACACACATGCCCAGCTGCTTGCCTGTCAGATAGTGGACAGTTGATCATTATGCTATTCTGTCAACTTGCGTGACATTTTAGCATTCAGCCAAAGGTTCTTATGACAAACATTTTTGCTCTACTTCCTTCATTTGGTAAAGAGGTGGATGCAGTCTTCCACCAAATACTGCACCACTAGGTTATCCCTGTTTTGTGGATGTCACACTCTATTGGCTTTCCCTGCAATGGTTCTTTCACCAACTTATATGTAGGATTCCATTTCTTTATGGTAGAAGACAGTGAGTAACATTTCTGAAGTTAACATTTTCTTTACCTGAAAATGTATTTCAAATAGATACTCACCTCTCTGCAATACCTCGAACTCCACTTCCAGTGTATTTAGCTTATCTAATTAAGAATGATCTTTTTTTAAATGCTGTTCTTATGGGGATTACTGTGCATGGAGGATGTGTTGTCCTCTTATTGGTGGAGGAATGTATATATATATATATATATATAGTATGATATAGTCTGATGATGATTACATCATAGGCTGCAGCAATACATATTAACTCCTGTAGGGGTAGGAGATTTGTTCAAGGGTTGTGGCATATGCAAGAAATTACACAATGCTCGAGGTAACAGCTCTGTGGGGTGCAGAGAGGTGATTATCTATTTGAAATACATTTTCAAGTAAGGAAAATTTTAACTCTATTTTTTATGAGTATTTAAAAGAAATGTACTACAAGGTAATTAATTCACTAATTACATAGTTAGACAGTCATATATAATTATTGCTTGCTTGTGTTTAACAATAATAGAGACATTTATACAGAAGAACAAACAAGCATACTTCTTGAAGAACATGTAACATCTCTATCTATTCTAGTTTATAAGTAACACTAGAATTTATGCACTTTGTTGTCAACAATATTAATATCAGAAAGAAGAAAAAGCAAGAGAATAAATCTTTTTAGAAACAGTTAATTAATTGTTTATTATTTCCTTAGTTCTAATTCAAAATAGGTGTTTATGGTCTTCATTTTTGTCAATTAAGTTATTGACTTAATTTTCCCAATTATATCATTTTTATGTAACAAATTCAAACTCTTAAAAATAGAAATGTCAGCAACAGCCTGAAATATATTTTCTTCTCAATGAGGGAAAACTTCTCTTAAAATAATTTAGGCCTATACAAGCTTTTAATACTAAGTTTCAGGTCAAATAATTTTTCAACTAAGTGCTTTTAGTTATGTAGGTTATAACCTTTTACATGTTACTGATACTTATGATTGTTCACATGTTTGTATTAGGTTATAAATCAACATATAACGTTAGACTCATTTTCAGTGTTGTTTGGAAATAGTTTTGTTCTTATTTAAATTATGAGGTTGTAGTGACCAATCATTATTTCATCTTTGTGTGTTAAATACATCAGTCTTAAAAATAATAAAAATAATTTGTGAATCACATACTGACAGGAAGTAGAGCTGTGGTGATGGAATGCCAGTATGGACCTAGAAGAAAAAGAAATCCATCCAAAAAACTCAACCAAAGTCAGAAAGGGAAATTCAAACAGACTTGTCCTGCTAGGTGAGAACATTTGTTTGTCTTGCGAGTTTTATAAGCAACAAACCATGACTGGTGTATGTGACAAAAGAAAATAATTTTATTTTTCTGTATAAGGTGTAGCTCTCTCAGCAAAACAGACAAAGAACAGAGAAGAATAGCATGTTTTCATTTATTTGGTTTATTCACAAACTGTTAAGTCAATCTTGTAACTTTCTATTGAAACTGTTGAATATACAACATCATGACCTCAGTAGTAATACTCTTTTTTTTTCATTTGTAGTAATATCTTTAGTGTTGTTGATGACTGTACAGTTTTCTTTGGTTTGTTGGACGAAAAATATGTGTAAGAGTATGCAGAAATGCCCTCACTTTTCTTATCCCTGCAAGTCTTCCATTTTAATTTTCTAATGTTTCACACCTTCCACTTTTAATCTTCTTACTATACAATTCTAGTTTCTTTTTCTTCTCTGCAATAATATTTCTTTTTCTCTCTTCTTTCTAACCTCAACTAAGTTTAAATACATAATCTGTTCAGCTTTTACTTGTAGTTAGTTATTCTTTGGTAAAATAAATAGTAAAACCTTAACAACACAGTTCCTAGTAATATCTAGTGTTTGTTTGAAATACCTCATGGGTTGACTGTTTGAGTAGATTTATTTTTTTTTTATTTTTTTACAACTCACTGGTCAATTTTAACTGCGAATGTTGCACTACAACACAAATATTTTTACACCTGTTATAGTTTTATTGTACAGTTTTTCTTTTTTTTTTTGTTGTCAGAATAGCACTATGCCTCAAAGGATCAGTCAAACCAAATTCCTTCAAAATAAACTTGTTTCTAGAAAAAAGTTTGATAAATGTTGTGCCATTTTGAATATGATAATATTGATCTGGATAAATTTTAGAGCATGTTAAAATAATGCTATGGGATTATCATATGGATTATATCTGACCCAATTCTAAAGCAGAAGAAATTGGATATTTAGATATAGTAGAAGTTTTTGTATAAGATAAGGCATTGTTTGGTGTGTTACTTTGTTTGCTGTTTCCAAAACAATGTTGATATTTTAACAAATATTGCAAGTATAATATTTATAATTTTTTTTATCTCTAATATATGAACATACAAATTCTAAAGCTTTATACAAAAGTCAAGTATAAGGTTTTAGCTTGATTATGAGCCATATATGGTACCACAAGTGAAATATAATGCCACATTCCCTTTCTTGATCCTATATTCACCAAAAAAAAAGGTAAATGTATTTTTTTCAGGCTTTTAAGAGTTATATCCTGTTATGGTTTTCTGATTTTTGTTCTTCTAGGATATACATTAAAAAAGTGAAAAAATTTCCAGAGTATAAGGTTGACCCAAATCTTGAGAAAAAAAGTTTACATGTAGCAATGGAGAAAGCTTTTGTAGAACTGAAAGCAGCTGGTATAGACGGACATGGTGAAGAAAGGTGAGGATAGTCCTGTCAGTATATTAAGTCTTTAGAAGAGGACTTCAAATAAGAATATGAGCAATATCTGTAGTGAATCTAAATCCAGGAAATTTTCAAGAGGGCAAGCATCAACTTGTAAATTATGCTACTGCCAGTGTAGATTTAATGCTTGTAATTCTTTCAGTACTCAACTGCTGACTCTGCAAGAAGTACTTTCTAAAAATTGTGCAAACATGAAATTCCTAAATTTCTATGTAGTAATACTTGAAAAGTTAATTTAAAATTGCTTTTTTGAATTTGTAAATAGCAATAATTTACACAGTGTTGAAAATTACTTGCAAACCCAGGTAAAGTGAGGAACATGGACTTTTACAACTTAATATGAATCATTATAAAAGAAAATGTGTAAGATTTTCATTTAGCAAATGTTGTTTCTCTGTGTTAATAAATTTCATTGCAAAGAAAAGTGAACTTACACTAACTGGTATTTTTTTGCTTTTTAACTAGTGGAATAGTAAAAAATCAATAGGATTGAAATTTGTGGTTTTGTTAATTAATAGGAGATGTTTTCCTATCTGTAGGAATAGAAATGTGTTTACAGCAGTGCTTTCCAAACTTTTTTGATGGTGACCCATTATGTATACACCAAAAATAATTTGACACCGCATAGACGAGTATAAACTGGCACATTGAGGCTCCCCACTTTACCTGTCAGTACATAAGGCTGTGTTGGTGAACCTTTTTCATGTCATGTGGCCAAAAAGAAATATAAAACATTAGATAATTTTTGGTGTGCCACATCAGTGAGCAAATTTAAAAATACTTTATATTGCTGAATTTAATAACAGCTATAATAAAAATAAAAACTTAACAAAACATTTTGTGCAATTTCCAAAAACATGGCAACACCACTCAGAGCAAAACACGACACCCCAAAGTATCGTGACACCCACTTTGGAAAGCACTGGTTTACAGATTTTGTGTATCAGTTGGTTATTATGTAGCTTTTTTAATACTTTTTAGGTGGTATGTTCAGTTGCCAACAGAAAAAGCCCATGAGTTCCATGATAGACTGCCTACAGGAAATGGCTCCTCTCCAAACAAGCAGCATCATAACATACGAGCAGTAAAAGATAATATTACTAAGAACTCTTGTCTATCTCGAATTCATCCTACATTAGTAACAAAAATAAGAGAGCTAGTAGCTAATGGTGAAACCAAAGTGCTGACAATTCGAAAGCAACTCAGGTATTTAGAAGATTAATTTTTATTTTTCATCTAAGACTTTTTTTTTATGCCTAAAATAATTTTAAGTATATATAACCATATAAAACTTTTACATTTATGAACATTATTTTGCATTATTAGCTTAATATATATGGATTTAGGAC